ATCATGTGCATGTACAATAGAATAATTGTGAGGGTTTAGTGCAGAGAACTGTTGCGGATAGTTAGACTTTTATATAACCAAGGCCACCTCTATACTGTTATGTAATATAGTACAGTATATACAGTAGCATGTATGGTTAAAAGACATACAGTGAGTATCCTTTTTAAGATAATTAAAGAACTAATGCATTGACTTTAAGTTAATAAAAAAAACATTGATCCTCTAAATTAAACTTCAGTAATCACAACCTTTTGTTAATCAGCTAAAATAAACATAAATCCTGCGTCCAGAGGATTTCTGCAGTCTTTCTCTGCTTCTGTGATTATTACATCCCCCTGTAATGAAACGAGTAATACAACTGTCGGTGAGCCTGTAATGCCTGTCATTCTCAATGCTGCAAACACACAACCGGGAGTGCTCATGACTACATACAAATCAGAGGAAGTTGAGATGTGGAACTGGCTATTGGGTACATGGAAGAAGGCAGGAAGAGGCTCACTTACCAGCTAGATTAGTCTCACAATCCTAGTCTTTTGTGTCCCTAATTTGAAAACTGCGGTTAACAACCTTTGGCTCAGTTTCATCCTGCTCTGCTCTTCTTTCATCCATGACCCAGCCGGCCAGACCAAATAGCATATACCGTACCTGAATTTATAAATGCTAAATTCGCAGATGAAGAGACCTGACTATATCTAACATAAACACTTTATTTCACATTTGTGTCATTTCTCAATGTGGATACTATGCTCTTACTAACAACTAAAAAAAAGAAAATGAAAAAAGGTGAAGTTCACGTTTGTCATTCCAGCCATATACAGTGGAACGAAATATCGTTCCTCCTGGTTGACAGTGCAAATACACACAGGACAGACAGGACACTGACATAGACATAGACTAGACGTAGACAGGATACACATAGTGTAAAGTGCAGATAGTGCAAATTACAAGGCAAATACATAATACAATAAACACAACACACTGGGGGGATTTAAACCCTGTTTCTGGAATTGGGGCAGGTGCACGTAGATTCCAGGGTGTTGAGGAGCCTGACAGCCTGCAGGAAGAAGCTGTTACAGAGTCTGGTGGAGCTAGCCCACATACTGCGATATCTTTTTCCCAGATGGTACAGTAGGAGGGCAAATAGTTCATGGGAGGGGTCATCTACTATACTGGAGGCCCTGTGTACGCAGTGTTTGTGATAGGTGACAGAAATGGAAGGGAGGGAGGCTCCAATGATCTTTTCAGCTGTTTTCACAATTCATTGCAGGGCCTTGCGGTCTGAAGCGTTGCAATTCCCCAAACCAGACAGTGACACAGCTGGTCAAGGTGCTCTCAACGGTGCTTCTGTAGAGTGGTAAGAATGGGCGGGGGAAGGTTTGCCCTCTGCAGTCGCCGCAGGAAATAGAGATGCTGCTGTGTTTTCTTGGCTAGGGAGGTAGTAAAGAGGGACCAAGTGATGTCATCTGTAATGTGTACACTTAGAACCTTGGTGCTTCTAACTGTCTCCACAGGGGAGCCGCTGAAGTACAGTGGGGAGTGATCTATTGAAAACAAAAATCTATACAAGAATTCAACACAAAAATAGAAGGAAGGAAAGTTTTTACTTGCAAAAAAAAGGGAAGAAACTCAGCTTTCAGTTTTGTACCTTTATGTATATTCTTCTCTTCACCATAGATCTCCGGATCTACTGTTCAGATGAAGATCCTTTTGAATTTAAGAAAGAATCTCTAATTTCTCACAAACAGCTTCCTGTTTTGTCTCCATCCGCCTTTTGCCATTTTCACATTCTCCTCCAGCTTCATCACCATATTTAGATAGATAGATGGATAGATAAGACTTTATTGATCCCGAAGGGAAATTAAGGTGTTACAAAATGCACATAGGTACTGTACAGATTGAGTGTCCAAAAAGTACAACAGTGCAACATGCTGTCCATAGATGAGCAGATGAAGGGCTAACCTTCATATCTTGCTTCCAGATATTTTCCCGTTATTCCTCCTTTTGCAGAAACTTTACCATTGCAACAATCACTTGCAGTATCTTATTCCAACCCTGGTTATCAGTCAAAGCCACCTGCACTGCATCTCCTGAATCTCCTACATTACTCTTGTAGCTTCTAATATTGCAGCCCTTGACACAAGCAATGGACTCTGGCCAAGGAATAATATAATCATGGCATACTATTTAAAAGAAATGCACCAAAGAAAGCTCTCTTATCCCTCTGTATCTCTGAAGTTCCAAACAAGCAGGCTTCTGTAATTCAGCTTACTTCTGCATCTGGCTATGGTGTTACCCAGCAGACAGCAAGATGCCAGCTTATTGAAAGGACCCATAACAACCCCAAGACCATCCATTCTATCTTGTCACTCTGATTCTTTTTCTTCAGTGCAATGAAATACTTATTTACATGTATGCTCTCATACGAAGACATTAAGGAATCAAAAAAACATAAACACCAGCAGCAACAACACCAACTTTAATAAAATACAACTTTAAAAAAAAAGTCAGACAAGCTGTGTGAGAAGAGAAAAAAACACATGTGTGAGTAGTAATGAAGATGAGGTTAGTCAGTGGTAGGGGTAGAGTTCAGTTATCTGACAGTTTGTGGGCAGAAACTGTCTCTGAATCTGGAGGTTCCTGCCTTCATGCTCCTATAACGCTTACCAGAGGGAATTTGGGAGAAAAGTGAGAAACCAGAATGATTGTTGTTATGAGCCAACCTCTGAATTTCAGGCTCTACGCCTTCCACATTCCTTCGTTAATTAAATCTTGACTCTTCCACATTGTCTTCTGCTTCTGTTGCCAGCAACCAATGTTTCCCAGTTACTTGTAGTGGATGAATGCAAACTGTCTGCCACAGGAGTTCCCAACAACAGCAAAAAATACCCTTTGTTGGGCAACACCAAAAAAGAAACAAACCCAAAATATCCACATGAATAGCTATATCATGCACCATCATATGACATCCGTCTGTCTTGAGAGACCATGGCTTTACGCCGTGCTTTGTCATTTTTCAGATTTACATCGCCTGCCGTGACTGTATAGACCAAGTCTGGAGCGACAGGCCTTGTTGCAGTTTCCGCAGGTGAAGTGTGACTCTGGCAGTAAAGAGGATAGGGTTGCCCTCTGCCATCTGCACTCCCTTGTCTCCTCCCACATCTTGTACCTCCTCTCCTCACTCAACCCAGTGCCTGCCTTGACAGCCTGCCTCCACCTGCTGCGGTCCGCTGCAATGGTTTCCTCTGTTCCAGGGTCGATATCGCTAGCTTTCATGTTGCGTTTGCAGACATCTTTGTAATGCAGAGTTGGTCTGCCAGCAGGTCTGGTGCCAGTGCCCAGCTCACCATACAACAATTCCTTTGTTATTCGGCCATCTTCTATTCAGCTGACATGGCTGAGCCAGCGCAGGCGTCGCTGAGACAGGAGTCCAAACATGCTGGGCATGTGTGCTTGAGTGAAAATGTCTCTGTTGGACACACAATCTTTCCATGTGATTACCAAGATTCTCCTACAGTGAAGATGGAAGGAGTTGAGGCGACACTCGTGCTGGGTGTACAGGGTCCAGGTCTCGCCGTCATACAGTAGCATGCTAAGCACACACCTGGTACACCTTTATCTTAGTGTTGATGGTCAGCATGTGGTTTTCCCAGACCTTGCCATTGTGGTTGCTGCTTTACTGATGCGTTTGTTGAGTTCAGCATCTAAGGACAGGCTGATGGTGATGGTAGAACCGAGGTAGGTAAAGTCCTCCACGACTTCGAGGGTGTGTCCCCTGATGAATATGCTTGGAGCACATGTCCTGACCCATGATGTTGGTCTCCTTCAGGCTAATGGTGAGGCCAAACTCACTGCAGACACATACAAAACTATTGATGAGTCTCTGGAGACCTTCCTCGGAGTGTGTAACCAGGGCAGCATCGTCGGCAAACAGCATTTCCCTGGCAAAACCTGCGAATCTTCTGAAAAAGTCATCTGAAAAGCTTCCCAGAAGAACTGAAGGCGTAATCCTCTGAAGAACTGAAGGCTTAAGAAATCAACAAGGAGAAGAAGATGCCAAAGAGTGTTGGGGCAAGCCCTCACTCTTTTTACCCCTCTGTTGATCGGGAAGGTATCTGAGAACGAGCCATCGTGCTGCACAGTGCCCTGCATGTTTTCATGGAATGATGTAATCATCCCAAGAAGTTTAGGCAGGCATCTAATCTTCTGGAGGAGGCCTTTTCTGCTGTCAAAGTCAAAGCCCTTCGTCAGGTGAATGAAGGCAAAGAACAGTGGTCTTCTCTGTACCTACACTTCTCCTGGATTTGACGCAGTGAGAAGATCAAATCGATGGTTGATCTCTTTGCTCTGAAGCTGCAATTTAGAACTACAAATACCTTGCCAAAGATGCTAAGGGGGGAAATTCTGCGGTTGTTACTGCAGTCATTACAGCATTGCTAGCCACTGATGAGGCTGAAAGCGAGAGGTGACAATCAAACAGACACTTCGCTAACAAACTAGACACATCACACATCCATTGACAGATCATGTACCACGGTACATAGAATACAGACAAGCTGCATACAACATATCACATCTCATGTCGATTAACCACATGCACTGATCAAAATGATAAAAGCATTGGTAATTTAGTGTCCATATAGTGCTGGAAAAATTAACAAATAAGCAAATGTACATTACCCTAAGAGAAGACTTGTGCTTATTTTACCTGTGAAGAAAAACAAAAATATGTAGGCAAGAAACCATACTCACATGAAGGGCAGTTAAAGTTCAGCTAAATCACATCACCCTGTTATTCAGTGAGATAAATTATATTTTGCTTATGAGATAAAAAAACAGAACATTACTCTGAACCTTCTACTGAAATAAGATGTAATTTAACTTTACAACATTGTGTACTTTAGGTAGAAAGGTTAAATTATTCGCTGCTATATAAGTCTATTGACATATATGGAAATATACTGTCACTTGTTAATGTCATACAATCAAAGGGAAAGAAAAAATGCTTGGGTTCAAACCTTTATTGTTTCAAAACTCTAAATTTCCTTTACAATACAGTAATTTGTTGTTAAATGACTTTATGGTTAATGTACAATGACATTTATTCCAATCATGAAACACAAGATCACCCAAATGAAATAATGCTTTCTACATATGCAACATCTATGATAGTGGGCAACGTTTAGTACTGTTTATATAGTATGAACAGCACAATCACTTCTTTTTTTTGACTCCATGAGAGCATATTTGCTGAAAGTGCATTTCAAAGATTGCTGTAATTAACAATTTTCTTTCAGTCTTTCAAAATGTAATTTCTGCAACAACAGAGGGCCATCATACTGTGTTCTGAACAACAGTATTTTATCTACATTTACAATGAAAGCTTTTATCTAGAGAAGTAAATTAAAGATAAATTATATTAATATGCATGCCATGAACATTCCTCCATAAAATGGTATGATAAACGAGTATTTTCAGAACAGTACAGAGAAAGTATGTTGATATTTTTCACAAAAGGACAAATGCTGGTAATAATGAAAACTAATATATAACATCCAAATACATATGTTCATTTTACAGACAAAATTATGGCTATTATGCCAATATATACAGGGCATGACATTAAATTAAAAATATATTTTGGTCCACATTTCTAAATCTTCCAGGTTAAAAAAAAACTCCTGTAGCTGGAAGCTAGGACTCCATTCATGATTACATTGTTTCTCTTTGTGCATGGTGATAAAGAGGATACATAATGAATAGGATGAGACAAACAAACAATGATAATCAAAACAGCATATGATCTTGACAAAATCTTGATATTATACTTTCTTGTTCCAGGGTACTGCTTTCACTCTGTAGAACTTCGTACCCAGAGGAACCTTAAATCTGTTCAGAGCCTGAAAAGAAATTGAAAAAAGTACACATGTAAGTCAAATAATGCCATGTTAAATATTAACAAATATTAAACATGAAAACAAATATTGATAACAAATATTTTGTTCATGGTCATATTAACTTTTTAAAACTCTTAAAAATAAGTCAGTAAACCAGTAAGTCATCTGAAAAACATTTCACATACAAAGACGAATCAAGAATGTGTCATATGTCAAACACCCTTAACTAAAAATACAATGATTAAATTAGTGCAATTGCTGAAGAATCCAATTGTCTACTAGTGACTAAACACTAGCTTATTTAGATAGACTAGGGAGACTAATGCTTAGGGAGACTAATGTTTATCTCATTCATGAACATATTACGATTGATGTGTCCTTCCAAATGCAGTATACAATGTGTTGTAAGCAATCAACATATTCAATCAGATATCAAGTTTGCCAGTACACATTTTGTGCAGTGTATCAAATATCATTAACTTCATATATTGAAAAGTCTTACTTTGTGATTAAAATGTTAATAATTTATCCAGTGTGAAATGTGCTAGATATTCTTATTCCAAAGAATCAAATTATAAAAAGAAATCTTTCTAATCTTTGGTTAATTACTGGTATTATATGAAGATCCTTTCTACTAAATGTTCTTTCTGGAATGATTTAGAGTAATTAACATGCCATGGGTATTATATTTTACAAGAACATGTAACCTATTTTAACATCTAAAAAAAAAACACACAAGTGGTTTATCTGTAAAAAATCTGTAAAATGGCTGAGGCTGTGAAGCTTTCAGCACTCAATTAAAGTTAAACATGAGGTTGTGTTCCTGAATCGTTCATTCTGTAATGAAAAGTCATACTGTTACCAATACCATTCAGTATGGAATCTAGCTTTCTTAAACTGTGAAGAAACAACTTGAGGAAATTAATTTTGAATGCTTTAAATACATTTTGTCTCAAATTGTATATGCTGTTTATATCATTGATTAAATATACAGTTTATTTGTTTAGGAAAGGTTACAAACAAGGGGAGACAGTTCAGCCAGCTACCCTGTTTCTTGTAATTACATACACATGGAACAAAGTTTGTGCCATGCACATTTCACATCACCGAAAACGAATATGCCCCTTAGGTTTCACATTTGGCCCCAGGCTTTCTGTACACAGGAAAGGTTTGAAGTCTTCCGCATTCAAAAAAAAAACTTTACAGAATATATTTAATTCAATTTGAATGTAAAAGTCAATCTGTTGATATTCAGACCCTGGTAACATTTTGTCATGTAATTACCTATTAGACTGCGTTTTGAGGACGGCATTTTACCTGAACTGAAAAGAAGTTGCCAAAATCAATTAATTAACTGCAATGGAATAAGTTGAGTACTTTAAATTTCAGTGAGATATGAATCATTTTAAAAGGGGTATAATGGGAACAAAATGTACAGGACACATTAATGTTGTATTTAGTAAGTACAAAAGCTTCAAAAATATATAAGAACATCGTTTAAAAACATTCCCTGCTGAAATCTACTGAATACCTCGCAATACCTGCAGAATTTTAAGCCTGTGAGTACCTACTGAGGAACAAAGATATAACATCATTAAGTTTGGAGAACAGCCTCTCAGAGATATAAAAAAAACTATTTTTACTCAATTTTATTTTACTCATTGCCCAAACAATGGTTCTTTCAGACTATTTTTACATTTCTCTGCTAAACTACAAACAGCATATCTGAAATATTTATCTTTTGCTGAAAAATGTACAGCAGGAGTGGGAGTATTAGTCACAACATATGTTTACAAACGAACCATTGTGCTCATCTGCTAACAGCTTTATAGCGGTTTCGCCATTGATGGCAATAAAAATAATCGCAATTAAAGCATACAAATATTTACTAGTAGCACACAACAAAGTAGAGTTGTCATGAACATGCTTTTTTGTCAATGAAATACTGCCTTAAGTTTGGATAGCTTTTGGTTTTTAACTTGTGTCACTGTAAACCCCATAGCTTCTCTAAATAACCAGATTGCTGCCAGTCTAGTTTACAACACACAGGACAAGGCAGAGGTACACGAGAGTAGCCAGAGCTAGTCTACTGGTAAACCAAGGCACAGACCATGCCATGTCATGTTCAGGAACAATGATGCCCTCACTGATCTTATATTGATTCTAAGATTATGACAGGAAAGAGAACGACAGCATTGGTGGGGCAAAGATTCTGGGAGACTACAACAGGAGCCAGGAGTATTTAGAAAACAGCAGAGGACTAATTCCAGAAGCAGGGAAGGGTGGTGACCTAGTTAGCTGCACAACAGACCAAAGATCGCATACTGGAGCCTCTAACAGCGTGTATCCTCTTAGAGCTGATAAAAGACAAGTTGCTCTTAAAAGACACAGAAAGCCTATAACAGCACAGTCTTCCATTACTTCTGAGGTGTCCCATCTTAATACTGACCAGAACCAGCCATGCCCAACTTCCCACATCTGATGGGATCTGCTGGTAATGCAGGATCACTACATGAACTGTATACCAGCAAGACAAGGAGTAGGTACAGTATGGTATAGAAGAACACAAGATCTAACGAATCAAACTGGTGAAGGATAGTGAAGAGGTAGTATGAGGAAGTGCAAAATGGATGAAGGAAATAAAGCATAGATTATAAGAAACAATTCCGAACACCCAGAATTGTGCAATGGAGGACAAGACATACAGGAGGTGGGGGGGTGTCTGTAATTGTAGCCTTGCTCAGCTACAAATACAACAAGGAGGCATTTTGTTCTAGGCATATAAAAGGAATACCCAGAAAACCATTAACAGTGAAATGTCACTGTACAAGAAAATCCCAAACCAGTAAAAGACAAGAAGTGTGAACAACAGACATCAAGGAGAGTTAAAAGGTAATAAAATAATCTATACAACACAGAAAACTGGCAACCTGAAGGAAAAAGTTGAAAGAAAGAAGAATTTACAGCACTCTAAGGAACTTGGTTGTACTAATACTTTATCACAATACTTCTGTAAAAGATTATTATGATTGATTCCTGGACACAAAAAGAACTTATGAATAACTAGAAGAAACTTCTGCAATAGCACATTTGTTTACCAATTTATTACTTAGAAATATGACTCAGAATAAATGCTAATGTTTTGTCTACCTAGCAGAGACTGAACCAATAAGCCAAGCAGCGTCTGTTGAGAGAAATTCCAAAGATGTTGCCTTAAGTCAAAAACTTTGAAACTTTTATTTTATATTTCTGCTGAGATGATCCCTGCATTTAAAACAATACCATTCAATATGCTTAATACAAATCTGATAAAACTGTAATGTCCCTGTTTTCTCTGTTGAATGGTTTTATACAACAGTGCCTCCTTTAGATGCTTTAGATGTTAGTATGTTATTGTAAATGGTCTTACAAAGCTCACCTGCCATTCCAAAATGTGTATTTCATATTATTTCATTAGAATTAACCTTTTCTAATTATAATATATTATATTATAATATATAACATGATATATATTATATATTATTTTATAAATTATAATTATATTAGCATAAATACATTTACTGATTCTTAAGAATTCATGTTTTAGATTTTAAACGTAAAGCCTGTCTAAATTTAAAGATGCTAAATTGTGTCTTTAGTGTCAATATGTTCTGATGGACCTGCATTCTCTTTCCAGCTTATTGCCAGCTTTATTCTTTACAGGTGTATACTCAGTAGAATCGAACACAAAGATGATCACAGATATTTCAGTCTGAATTGGCAGCTTTAGTGAAAATATAGCTACTGATTTATTTTCAATTGCCACATTAAGAGCCTTGGCAACTACAGTTTTACAAGATTCAAAACTGAAATAATATTGACATGCTAGTCTGCATTTGCAGTTCAAGGCTACAAAGCAAGAAGTAGGAACTAGATGTTTGCGGAGCTGCAGGGGGTCACTAAAAGGAAAGGTTTACCCAAGTTAATTAAGCTATTGGTAAATCATCAAGAGTCTAGGAACAAAGAATAAAAAGACAAGTAGGAGAAAAAAGAGAAAATGGAGACAGAAAGGGATGGAAGGAGAGAGGAACTACAAAGAGAAGGGAGAAAGCACATATGAGGCGAGAGATCCTTGTTCGGATTATCCTTAAAGACCAGATTCTCGCTAAGTATTAGAAGTATTTGCCCAAGAGAGCTTGCCATTCTGTTATTTGAGGAAACTCTGATGTTCTTTATAAAGAATCCCTAAGTCAAAACATTCTGTCCCCATTACTGCATTTTTTCGAACAGGGAGATAGGGTCCCATTCACTTTGGAGCATCCTGAACAATTTAACTCCAGGTAGCATTACGTTTTATTTAGAAGGCAGGTTTATCTCTCCTCTTGGTATGTTAGATATTATATGGGATTTTAAATAGTCAGTCGAGGGGATTTTCTTGTTGGTCAGGGCATAGGCTCCGAGACACCAGTTTTTAAATAGTAACTTGTATGTTGTGTTGTGCATTGTTAATTTGTATAGTGTGCTTATTAATAATTAATAAAATTAATAATCAGTGTGCCCGATTCATGACTGTTTCACACTAAAATGTGCCAAACAACAAATGTCTCAAATGCTTCCAACTATACTGATATAGTATATATCTATGCAGGTATATTCTTCCCATATCTTTTACATTTTGGTGGTTATGCTTATTTATTTTTACTTATTGATGATTACTGATTTCACATTTATAATGATTTTGGCCATTATAATGACATTAATGTATTGACCCACCTGTCAATATCTGTAATAATAGAGGTTATGTGAAAGATAGTTTCTTATAAATTCTTCTTGTCTAGTATCTATCAAAATCTGAAGCTTTTCTACTCCTCAAATTATTCAAAATATACTGCAGTGGATGTATTACTGTATATAGCTACTTCATATTTGAGCTCTACAAAATGTACTATGAAATATTATCCTGTTATAGAACAAATTATGAAAGAGGTAAGAGTTTAATTAGATACATTTCCAATGAAAGGCTCTTGAAGGCAAGAAAAGGAGCAGAGAAAGTTAAAGCTGCTGAAGCTCAGTTATAGCACAAAAATACCAAAGGTGCCTGCATGTGCTCTGATGTCCACTTCCTTTAGTACTTGAAAATGGAGTGGAAAACTACAGATAATGCACTAGAAAGACTTAATCCTGAGTTGGGGAAAAATCTTGATTCTGATGGGACTGATAGCTTGCGGTGAAAATGGCCTGAATGCTCTGAAATACCTGCGTCTGACTTTTTGAGACAGAATGAACTAAATTAACTTTTATCCATAAGGAGCTGATGATGCTCACTGAAGTTTCCTGGACATTTCCCTCTTTACTCCTCCGTGCCTGTCCATCTGGAGGTGATGGAACTGTATGTGTGAACCTGTTGTATAATGTATGCAGTCAAGTACAGAATTGTCCAGGTTTGCAGAACAGGTGTTAGACCAAGACCAACTGAGGTCAGACAACAATTCTTGAAAGCAAAACAAAACCCAAGAACATCAAAATAGAAATAAGCATGAAAAGAAGGCATGTAGTATGACACCTTCTAGTAAGACACTCCGTATTCCAGCTACATTAAAAAGAACACAATTAATCTTCCTTAACCCTATCACTTTTACACATATAGTAAATTCTACTATGCTTCAATTAATTTTAGTTTGTTTAATTACATTTATACACTGACCTTTTGTTCTCACAAATTATACCAAATACAATTTATGTTATTGACATGAGAAACATTTATAGTCTATCAACGGCTATCAATTATATTGAACATGAAGCTACCTCATGACTAAGTTGCATATGTTGGTTTCTATTAAAAGGTATAACAGCAAACAGTCTTGGAATTTGACAAGGGTTTGAGACTTTGTCCAAAGTGCAGGATAGGTAAAAAAACCTTGACTTCCTGACTGCTTTCAGATCTGGGATTGAAAAATTGATCAAGGTATGGCAGATATGAAGATCTCTGACGTACTGCAGAAACAAATGTTGTTTGCCTGCATTCCACATCACTAGGAGACTAACATTAGTTCAACTATAATGTCTGTCCTTCTCATAATGTTCAAGTTGTACTATTTTTGTATCACAGTTTTAGTGAAGGAAGAAGAAGGAAAAAGTTAGGCCTAATATCATTCTATTGGCACGTTTAAATAGTGCCAAACGCATGAAAAGTACTTCATCCTGGGTCTAATTCTGCATTTAATATTTATCACTATGGTTTATGAGCATTAAGCAAGTGTTATTCTTTTAAATATGTATTTATTTACAATGTAATCCACTTATGGGCTCTAAGTCTTGCCATTTCCACTGAAAGCCTCATTCTTCCATGAACTGATTCTTATTTCCCCTTTAGCAATGTGAGTTTTTTGCATGCTTGTTTGTATTTAATGAGCCAAATGACCTCCTGTTTGCAACTGTTCTTAACAAGATCCTTGCTGCTGCAAATGCAATCATTAGACACATTTAAAGGGAAAGACAGACATACAGACATCAGTGAATTTCTAGTGGTTTCACAGAGGATTGTATTACATGCTAAGACAGAGGTGGGTTATGTACCACAAGTTACATGGTTCAAGCTGTGGGTGGGGCACGGGTGTTATACATTTGAAAATACTATTCAGACTTATTTAGTAAAATACACAATTGTATGAATAAGTACATATGCAAGTTAGTTTTGATCTTGTTAGTTTTGTTATTTTTGGTGTGAGAAGCTGCATCTGGAATAACCATATTCAATCCACATCCAATTTAACTCTATTATTTTGAAAAAAAGGGGGACAGAAATGATCCTTACCTTCTTTGCCTGACAGTACTCTTTTTCCATTACTTTTCCAAGAACCCATGGTCGTCTTGGAGTCCCTGATGCTGAAGAGAGAAAGCAGCACTGGTCAGCAATGAATGTGTTCAGTTATAAAATCAACTTTCATGTTCTCTAAAAATTGCCATTTCAAGTATATTAAAAAAAACTATCTATTTCTGTTTTCATATGAGCAAAAATGCCTTTTACAACTATTTTTTTTAATTTTATACTTTCACAATTTTTAAATCAACACAGTAAAGTGTTACTTATGTGTTTATAACAATTACACACTAAAGAACTGTCTTGTCAGATTAGCTTAAAATAATGAAAATCTGGCATTGAAAATTATATAAAAATAGAAAAGATTAAATGCGTTATCCTTTGTCAAAATCACATGCATTTGTAATATATCAAATTTCATATTATACAGGAGGCATGGATGATAAACCACTATTGAAATCTGAGCAGAACTCATGACTTACAGGAAGAACATAAAATGCATGAATGTAGTATAAAATGTAGCGGTTTATTTGAAAACCCAGTACTTGCAATTGTGCTCCAAGAGATATTTTTCTTACAGAATTGGTCCTATTGGTAATCTCTGGGCTTCAACATCATATTACTTTATATTTGGTGTGCTATAACAGGACAGTCTTAACACCTTCCTCATCTATATCAATGATTTTGATTCTGGTTTAGTTAGGAAATTTGCAAATGACAAAAAACAGAAATAGTTGTAAACACAGAAGCAGTCACAAAGAACAAAATTATGGAATTGGTAGGGCATTAGTACATGAAATTTAATGTTGACTAGAAAAAGGTGTTCCATGCATGAACTAGGAACATGCACTAAACATATCACATGGTTGATTCTGAGTTGCAGAAAGCTACACAAAAAGTATCTGGGCGTTAATGAAATTTTCCCTTTGATCACATCAAGACAATATGATGAAGTAATACACAAATCAAAAAAGAATGACAGAAAATAACAAGTAGTGTTGAATTTCAAACAAATTAAGTTGTGATAAACCTTTACAATGCTTAGTAAGAACTCATTTAGAATACTGTGATCTGGTCACTTTAACCAGAAAACAGATATAACAACTCTGGAAAGAATTCAAAGAGTTGAAATCATTTTTCCTGGTCTCTGGTTATTATAATAAACAGGTTAAAAAAACTAAACACATCTTCTTCATCTCGAACAAATTATACCGTACTGGTATTTCATCAAAGTATATAATATCTGAAGAACAGACAGTGTCAGCCCAGAGATTACTTCAGACTCAGTAGTAAAACAAAGACACAGGATCACAACTGAAAACTAGGCAGAATAGGAGGCCTCCCACTCTGGAGTTAGGGGCTATTTTAAGAAGTAAATAGAATTTCAGACATGGTGAAACAAATTTTCTTGTGTGTAACCTTTATGCTTATGCAACATTTAGATGAATATTCAGAAACGTTTTACACTTCCTCACCTCAAAGTTAGTTTCACTAACATCTGTCATCTGATCCAGCATCCCTGCTTTATATATTTTATTTATACTGTACTTCTACACTGTAATCCTTGTACCTACTTATTACATTAATCTTGTCTGAAGAGTTAAAACATCTGCAGAATATAAGTATTGTGTTAATCACAAAATAACATGTAAAGTCTTAGGATATGTGACATTGCTTCATGTGGATAATCAAAATATAAACAAACCACATGCTTTAATACAACTGAGTTAATGAGTATTCTACATTTTTATGAGTGGTATTTCTAGGCTCATTGCTTACTTTTCTCCATCCATTATTACTTGAAAAAATACATTCAAAGGTACTCTAGATGTGGATATAGTAAAATTTTAGCAGTGAATCTGTGTTGGCAGCTTCCAAAATAATATAACTTAGAATTTTCTGGAATTAACATATATAGCAATATTTTACCATATCAAAATAAGAATACTACTTCTTAAAGGCCAGGTTGGTCTCAAGCCGTTTTTTAATAATGTTGGTTATTATGGAATAATAAATTATCTCAAATTTGTATTACTACATCCCTTCTGAAATAACCTGTCCTTCTATCAAGAGTGATTATTTTACTACTAATTATTTATACATTAATATATCTGCAGGAAATTAATTTGGCTGCAAAAAAGCTTTAGCGCCACATCATTGTTTTCTTCATTCACATCTGTACGCTGTACACTGCTGTAAAAGAATGTGAGTAGCAATAGCTGGAGCAGTATTCACTTTGACTGACCTGGTTTGAGATCCAAAGCAGCTAGAGACTCTGAGTGAAGGAAGTAAAGGGTCGGACCCACAGTAAACAGTACATAATTATCATGTCTTTCATCCAAGATAATAAGAACCAAATCCCCGACCTGAAAACTGAATAAAAAAAGTATGTGAAAAAAATTGTTACCTAATGCCCCAAAATACCTAATAGTACAAAGGGATGTCAGAACAAATCATTTTGGTCTTTCTTCATAACGCTTTTCTTTGTGGTAAAACGTTGCCACAATGAGGCATTTAAATTTCCAAAATACAGACAGGAGTAAGTGAAGTACACAATCTATCTATATATTACAACGTCACATCAACTCAACAAATGGATCTCGTAAGAAACTATGATTTCTCATAAAAATCGTAAAGAAAAGCCATGCTCAGTGTGACAGGCTGCAACTAGAAGGCAATAAGATGATGTTTTAATGGCTAACAGACAATTCTTCTCTTATAACGGTTAATTTCGATTTTGGAAAACATAAAAAAAACTAAGTTCAACATCAAAGATTATATCTTAATTGTTATATAAGATCATATATAACAATATTCATTGTTTAAAACAAGATCACTTTATTGGCCATATACAATTTCTTGTATTAGGAATTGGTCTTTTTTCGCATACCCCAACTTGCTCTCCATGAGACACACAGACAGGGAGAGAAGCTTGGGAATGTTTTTTCCATCTGAAGCAGTAGATTTAACACAGAGTTTATGTACAATTCACTTTAAATAAATTATATACCTTATTTTCTTAGAAACAGGTACATTTAAATAGTGCCTGTTTGCTATTGCTAATACAGACTTACTTTTAACCAAACACAGCCTTTTATAACACACCTAATGTTTTAAAAAATATAAATATTTTACTTTAGTATCTTACATCATTAAAATATTTTGATAGTGAAGCATATTTTCATTTTTGCTTAAGTTTTCACTACATACTTACTCTCTTATAGCTATTTTTTCTGAATGTCGAGAGGATACTGAAGACATGCTCTGAGACATCTGAAGAAAAACAAAGCATATTTTATTATTTAATCGAAAGGAAAATATCATTCTGATCCCTATCAGCCTCTTAACACTGGCCTGCCAGATTTTCTGCCTTTATATTCAAATATTTTATCTGTGATCTCAAAAGAATATTAATATATCTTAAAAATACATAAAATAAGATATTGATTGTGTCTCAGTAATCCCATTTTTGCTTTTTTTTGGCCTAAATTGGGGATTAGGGATATATACATGCAAGCAATTATTCATTACTTCTAAATCCCATGTCACCAATATGAAACAGAAAATAAATCTTTAAAGATTAGATAGATACATTAGAAAGAAAGAAATATATTAAAATATATCTACCAGTCTTTGATTGAGACGCTTATTTTCTTCTTCCTTCATGTGTAAAGTCTGTAAAACAAAAATAAACAACTTCAATTCAATATAAATTATCTGCCTAAAGAGTCACAATAATTTATTTTAGTAAATACATAGTAACCAAATAGATTTCAGTAAGCAACAGTAATATTATTATTAAAAGAAGTTAAAATTGGCTGACATGATAAAAACATCCATTTCTTAATTTGCTTACATTGACCTATCAAGCAAAGCCTTAACAACTTCTCATTGCATGTAACAAAGTATTCTGCATGAGCACAGAACTATTTCTATAAACAGGCTCATGGTAAATATATTACAGAAACTGTAGAACTGTATCTGGTCAAAACAATCATTAAAACTTTTTTTTTAAGTGGGAGAAAACCCATACCATAAAACAGACTTATCAGCAAATAAAACATTTCAAAGCTCAGAGCATGTGCCTCCTTACATTTCTAACAGTGCATGCATTTTCTGTTCTTTTCCTCAGGAAAAATTCAATAAAATGAACATTTAATGATAATAGTTCAATTAAATAGCAAAACTGTTAAAAGGACAGCACAACACCATATAATGCATTATAGCACTAAACTCACCCTTTCTAATAAAAGGATCCGTTGCTTTTCCTCAGATAACATTGTTATGTTTTCACTAAAAAGGAAATGGAAATAAAAACTGTTAAAGTGATATCATGTAATGCCTGTAAAATAATTGGTACTTTGCAAAAAGATCATGAATTATACGAAGATAATATAACTATTACAACCAAGTATCTTTCAGGTTGGACTTCCTTTACACACTATTAGACATGACTAACATTCCATAGAAGCACATAAATTACATGTATCTTAAACATAACAGCCCTGCTGTTTACATCTATAAGACGTCAAAGGATCAAAACAAGGATGTTTGATTTCCTATAAAGAAAACACCATTTAAACTGTTCACTAATGGAGGATCTTGTGCAATATTTTCTATGAGAAAAGTTGTGGAGCAAAGACCTGGAGTCACCGATTCTCTTTCTTCTTTCTGTAGAGGTCACTTTATTGGAAATTTCAAGAGCCTTGAATGAACTATCTTCTTAGACTTTAAGCTACATGAACATATGAGGTCATGCTGAAACTAATTCTTATTAATCTTATTGTCATGATTCACGTGTTAGAACAAGTGTTATCATCCTTAAATCTGACTTAAATCTCCTTGTGGTTCCAACTAGTTTTCTGAAAAGAAAAACCATATATGTTCAGCTCAGCTAATAATCCCAATCCCATTTTAATGCCAGAGTTTAAACAAGGCGCAGATCAAAGAGCCTGAAATTGTATTAAATAAAGGTGTATGTATAAAAAGTGAATAAACCTACAAGTCCTCACCTAAGATGGTAGTTTTTACAATAATTTTACTCTGAATTTCATTTCTTTTAAGTAGCTATTGTTCACTGCTTTTATTAACTAGCCCTCTGTGATATGCGTGTGTATATAAACACAGCCTACGTAACACGACATTTTGGCACTGTTACAAAGTTAGTGTAATGGTTTGCCTTTGTGTAATCAAAGTGGGATGACTTGACTTTAGAGTAAATGCATCTGACTCTGTATGTTCTCTTGGACAGATATTAAAGTTCAAGCCATAACACACAAAATATGACAAATTGACCGTAATGATTATGGAGCAAATCAGGGATAAAGTGACAGGCACAGATCAGGAGAAGGTCAGTTATCTATCCATCCATCAATAAAAAGTGGAATGTGTGTCATAACACTAACTTCATTATCAAGATCAGTCCACTCCTTACAAATTGAGAAGCTGGGCAAGCAAAGAACTGGTTACCACTGTCATACTTTAATAATACATTAATAATATTCTTGCCTCTACACATAACTGGTCTTTTGAATGACATGAAATAAGGCTTTACTGAAAGAGACTCATAATTATTATCATATAGGAAACATTGGAGGCAGGTAGCAGATGGTGTTATGGTCATACAAGACAAAAGCTTTGAACTTTTTGATTTAGCGCAAGCCCAGTACAGAATATCACCCAATCAGTAGCACTCCTGCTGTTAAACGTGTTAAGACTTGAGGGCACATGACAGAAAATGGATGCTATAAAATACAAGCAAATCCTAGAAAAAACCTTAAAGAATCTAAAACAGCCACAGAAGAATCTAAAATAGGTACGAAAATGTACATTTCAGCATCAATGGCCTAAAGAAAAAAGCTCCAGCCACACATAAATGGAATGACAAGGAAGAGAGCGAGTGTCCTTGAGTGGCCAAAAGTCCTGAGTTTAATCCAATATATTTTTATGGCATATCTTGATAATTGCAGTCCATTAACATTCTCTAAAAAAGTCTAAACTTTAACATAGGGGGTTGAATACCTGTGCAATCACTACATTTCACTTTGTATACACTTATTTGCAGGTTTAAAATCCCTGACTTGACTTCCAAAGGATGTAAACTCATCCATTAAAATGGGTTTCACATTATACAAAATGGCAAATTTATAGTAAAATAATCTTTTATTATATAAATATAATTATAGATATAAATCATTACTGTATTATTTTACATCTGTATGTGTTTGACATGTTTATGCAACTGTTTACATATTTTCCTCCCTGACTTTATGTCCTCTGAAGGCAAAATGCCTTAACAAAAATGTTCAAAGAAACTAAGTGTAAGCAGCCTATATTGCTAGAGGGAAAAAAAAGTAACTTAACTCTATACAGTATTAGATATCTATATTTATCATATGTACAGCATTTAATGTATCTTTATGTAGAATTATGCTGTACATAAAAGTTGAATTTAAGGGTATTATGCTGTATTTTGATCTGTGTACTGTACATGCGTGATACACCATACAATAAAATTATTACAACTTTAAATTTAATGTTAAATCAATGTAATGTTCAAAAATGTTGTTCACCCTCTAAAACACACAAAATCTCTCTCACACACATGTTCTTTCCTTCATTGTTAGTTTTCTAATTTTAATTCTGAAATGTTTCAAACATGGTTAAATTACATTTAAGTGCTCAACTTAATGGGTTATTAAGAGTAATTATTTTGTTTATACACAGAAAACACGAATGATCTCTTTGTAAACAGAAAACATGAATGTACACTACTGTAGACTTACATCACCATGTCCAGCTCCCTTTTTCTGTTGCAAGACATTGATTCTTAAGGAATAAGAATATGTCACACTTAATGTTCTCTGGGGAATATTTAAGTCCCTCTTTCCATGGGAAAAAGTACCTGTTTAATGGACCCCATTAAGGATGTTAAATGGGTACCCCATGTACTTTTTGTATTTTTTTTGTATTCTGCTTCTGTACTCATGAACCTGTTTCTGTCTCATGAAATTCCAGTTCTGAAAGGTCTACATGAAACCACAAAAGATTTGCTGAAACATGTGTAAGTGGAAAGCATTATTTTGGTGCTCACTCTGCTGCAGTCAATAGCAATCTCACTACACAGTATTACATTGAAAAAACTGGATCTGTGTAGTACCAAGATATAGAAATCAAAAGTGTAATCTCTCAACATTTCAAAGTAAATGGCCTTAATCAGTTGCCAAAATCATGAAGTGGCCAATAGTAACTCATTTTAAATGTTGTTGTTATTTAAACCTTTTCATTCCTATTTTCTATATATGGTATGAGCTGCAATATGACACAACCATTTTTAAATGGGGAAGAAGATATTAACGTCACTCTCATCTTACTACCTCAGATTTAACAACTGGCTATTGCTGAATAGCTTGCAGTTCCTAAATATACCCATTCTAAGATGTAGAATTAGTGTAAATGTTTCTATAAACATTATGAAAGTATAACAAAATGATTTTATACATTATTTTGTAGTAAATTGCATACACAAATGTATTTTGCGCCACCCATCCAGGGTTCAGCCCTGCTCCCAGGATAAGTTCTAGGCTTCTTCCACTCATACAAGGAATAAACAGATTTCTGATAATGGACGTTTGTTATCTCACACACATAAACATTTTCTTTGACCTTAATGCATTGTATAGACCATACTTTGTGTAATTTTATATACAATGGATGCTCCTGAGTTTGATTATCATATTTAACAACCCTACTTTGTTTATTTTGTACTACAATTAATGTAAAAGGTGTACATTCATTGGGTATTTGTAATTTTATTGTTAGTTAAGCATTCCGAGATTATGGGATGTGTATGGAAAAAAATAAAAATGATGTGCATGCTTAACCACAGGCATTCAAAATCCAGTGTGACAGGGCTCAGGGATTAGTAAGGTCGTTAAAGGTAGAAAAGCTTGATAAATCCATCCACTCACTATCTTGATATGTATACTGCTGTTTATTAATATTTAGCACTGCTGTTTATTATATATTCTTTTTCACACAGTCCTTTCAATAGTACGTGCTTACTGAACAGCCATCATGCTGGCCTCCACTGCTGGATCTATTCTCCCATCCTCTCCAATGGCAGCAACAGAGGCCAACCTCTCAGAGTCTGCAGGGGCTTCAGTGGAAAACGCTCCTGCAGCTTGTGCATCAGGTTGGTTGGCAGAAAAAAATGCAGAGGAAACCAGAGCACTGCTGCGAAGCCTGTTAAGCTCCTCCTCCAGTTTCTTCTTTTCTTGAAGCATTTCCGCTCGGTCTTTAGAAAGAGTTTCAATGAGATCTAAAAACACAAACAAAAAAGTACTTAATAATCAAGATAAAAAGGAAATTTTGAAATTAGTATGTTTACAGACATCCTAAAATGGTAAAAAAAAATGTTTTTATGCAAACAAGCTAGTGCTGCAAGATGCTTGTCGCGTTGTATTACTGAAAATCAGGACAAACCAACATGATTTCAGCTCACATGTAACTTCAGTGTTTATTTACTATAGTAGCCTACATCATAATGGAAAGGGTTTAAGCAGTGTCTGGTAAATCTGCTTGTGCAGCACCGGGGCCTCACAAACGCAAATGCTGACATTTACACAACAGCTGTGAAAGGATCCTACTGTTCGTGCATGGTGGTCATTTTAAGTACTTGTACAAAAGTAGTAAGTAAAGAGGAACAGACCTTTATCCCTTTCTTGTTGTTCAGTTATTTTTTTAAGCTTGTCACTCAGCTCGTTTATTATTTGTTCCTTCTTCGTTTTTTCTCTTGTCAGAACAGTGTTGAAGTTTGTCTGCCAAAAACACAAGCCAATTTATTAAACAGAAATGGTACATTGACAACACCTTGTTAAAGACCAGTTTTACAGAACGCTCACTATAATTTTTAGATAAAAGTTTGTTTTTAACTTTAAAAGGAATGATATTCATCTTGATGTACCACAACTACAGTCTACTAAAAACTAAAACTAAAACAGTCCAGAGACATTTTAAGATGGCTGGTCTGCCTATCTGGAGAATGATAAGAAGAGGATCCCATTAAACCTTAAGGTAACTGCAAACGGCACTACAAAACTGTGAAATATAAAAAAATATGTGAAGCATAAACCATTTAAGGACAGCATCTGGCAAAGTACATAATTCTGTATCAAGAATACCAAGATAATGAATCATTCCCAAATAAAAAGTAAAAACAATAGCTTACTGTGTTTGTTACAACATAATGTACAATAATACTCACACTGTGCAACTAACTGATAGGATGGCATAAAATAATCTGGTATCAGCGTGACATGAAAGAGAGATTTCCATATACATGGCAATTTAAACAGTTTTAATTTAAACATTCATATCATTGTTTATTCAGTTGGTTACAAATTATTGTGAATAAAAAATACAGGCTGTTTGGACAATCACATGACTGTCATGAAGTGCTGCAGTTATCAGAGGGTAAAAGCAAAACAGCATTAGGAAAAATAGCACTTCAGTTCTACTGTGTGTGTTCTGTAGTGGCTACAATGAACACAATGTAAATTACATAAAAACATTTTCTAGATATTATTCTTATTAGAATGTTTATATATCTACTTAAACTAAATTGTTCAAAGTAATTTCTACAAAAAAAACACATTCAAATACAAACATACACATACAGCCACAGCTAAACATCAAAAGTAACAAAAGAAAGCAAGACCTTATTTATTTTAATTTGGTCATGTACCAAGGTTTGTCAATAAAAATTATAATACAACATATTCTGTCGCTACCTGTGCAGTAAAAAGTGCCTCTAGCCAATAGGTAAAAAAAACTTATGGAATACTTCTTATAGAATAATCCTTGACCCTCATTTTTCCTTCAAGATGTAATAATAAATCTAATGTTAGTCTAGCTTACCCATGCAATTACACTACGGACACCATAGAATTGACTGTCCAATTTCCTCCAACAAGCAGCATTTCCATTCAATTCAAGACTATCTTGACTTCATGTTCAAAAATGTATTTTTATAGTTTTACTTTCCATGTAATCTCAAAGCTGACAGACATAACATAAAAATAAACATCAATACTCTAGCAGATATAATTAAGCCCATGTCTTTTACGTCACATAAAATCAAACTTTAATGAAATACTCAATGTAATCTAAAATGGGAAATTTTACTAATTAATAACTATAACATATGACTTTTTTTATTACATTTATAAGGGAAAAGAACTCTAATCATCTGCTGATTGAAGTCATCATTGAAGCATGCTGAACACACTCTGTGTCCAACAGTGATGTATCTTTATTGTGTATAAAGTAATAGATAAAATATGCATAGTTTTCAATAAAATCTCTTTTGGTCTACTGATCTCTTATCCATCTTAACATTAGGATTTTCAGTGTCTAAAGACTGATGTTTATGACTCCACTGACTTCTGTGGTTGCTAATTATTCACGTCTCTGTGCTCACAAGAAATCTTCAACTTCCTATCGTTACTGCATGTTCAATACGCTTAAAAGATAATGATAATGATAAAGATCATCATTATTAAATGGCTTTAGTGCACATTTGTTAAGTGATCTTGATATTTAAGAAAAGCTGCAAAGGAGAAGAATAATGTGCATTTTGCCTTTAAAAATTATATTCTCCTTATTTCAAATTCCACTGATAGCTGGGATTTCTTATTTCTAGGATTTCTTATTTATTGCACATCTCCAGTCATTGTTTACACATCTGTATTGTTTACATACAAACTGTCTACATGTTTACTTGTACATTGTCAACTGTTTGTATATTCTCTAAATGCACTGTTTGCACTTTGTGTTTTTACACTTGTTTTACAATCGAGAGACTTTCTGAAAGTAAGAATTCCATTGTACCAGTACATGTACTGGTTACATATGGCAATAAAGTTCAAGTTCAAGGATTACAGGCCATTTTATAGTTTAATTACATATGTCATATGAATAATGTTTCACTGTTACTGTGTAAATACACAATATAATAAACTTAAAACAAGTTTCTGGAGTGCAGGAAGTGAAACATGAAGATGTGCTCATGTTTTATTCACTAAGCAACTGTGTGGGAATGAAATTAAATCATTCCATTTAATCTGGTCAATAACTCTTTAATTTTTCAAGGTTTCTATTTTCTGTTATTGTTTTTTAATTTTGTTAAATTATTATTTTAAAGAGCTGTCTTGGCTTAAAAATAAACATTTTTTTTAAAAAATGACAGGCTAACAAAAACTTTAGCAGATGTTTAACGTCCATTTTGTCCCAGAATGGCACATCAAAAGAAAATAATTAAGTAGGCTCACAGAACAGACAGTGAAAAAGGAAATACCTTAAATGAGTTCCATCTAAATTCTAAAAAAAGTATTAAAACTGCTTAAATAATTGTGTCTTGTTGTAGTATTCGTAAGTAATATTGTATATAAGAGATAATTCATTAAAATTACCTGTAATAATTAATAAAACCCAAATGGCAAATCGAGTTTAGTCTAATCTGAAGAAATAAAAAAAACGTGACTGAGTGAACAATAGCTCTTTTTAGAGAACAATTACTTAGATGACAGCTATTCATCCATGGCAGGAAACTTGAATGGGTTAAGGTCATAGCTATTTTAAAGCAGCATTTATTTCAAAAGAGAGAGTTATTTCATTAACCTCTCTTTCTTAGTAGTCTACTGACGTAAATGGTAAGTACATGTTTAAACGTATTTACCCCGTTGTGCAAAAGTAAATGACTATAGAGTAGTCATGCACTACCTGCTGATATATAAAAAGATGTGACTTTAGGACTAAGTGATTCACCAAATAAATTCAGTGGCAAAATGTATTATCAGATGGGGGAAAATATCGCTGTTGAAAGATTTTTTAAAAATTGTATCTTAACAAAAAAACAAATATTGTATTAATATTTGAGGTAAGCTGAAGAAAGAGAGGGAAAGATTGAGAATTTGAAGGGCAAGTGGTGGCAATTTACTAATTAAATCAATCAGAAATAGTACATTGAATTAGTTTATGATAACTTATGAACAGAGTCTTTGCAACAGTACAACACATCAGTAATATATTTAAGATAATCATAATTTGTTAAATTTCTCTATCATTATCACAGGCAATGGGAGTCTATAACTATTTAGTGCAAAAAAGACGACATGGTTATTGGCTTATATCACATAAAAAATATCACATAAGATCGGCATGCTGTGTACAGAGCATGTGACAAAACTGCAACAGCTGAAAGGGGATAAACATTAAACATCATGATACGGTACCTATGTAGAAAGCTCCATAAGGCTGTTATTATAGTCACTAACTTGCAGTAAAGGACTGTTATTTATTTTTTCCTACGGATTCTCATCTTATGTTAAAAAGGTGATCCTACACAATACATATCCAATTACTCAATACAATTCCAATCAATTCAAAGAGGCAGAGTCAATTTGTGTGTAGCCATTTCAACTCACTCAAAATTCATTTGAACTCATTTGAATTCACTCAAAAACAAAGTTGTTTGATTTAACAAAAAAAAAAATTCTGGTTTAATAAAAAGAAACCTTGGCACTGCTTGTACTTAATGATACTGAACAAGAATCATCTGAATACTGTCGAATTAAAGTTACTAAGATCTTGGTCTTATGCCTTTGTGTCACATATTGTAGAAACTTCACTTCATTGTAGAAGTGAAGTTATGCTATTTATTTTTATTAAACATAGCCTCATTCTGAACAAGGCTTCAATTATTTATTTGCTTTCCTCAATATATATTTGGAATTTACTTTTGTATATTATATTTTACTCATTTTAAAAACAAGAAAAACTTAGGTAAAAACATGTGAGAAGAAACATTTAATGTTGCAAGTTGTGCTGTGATTTAAGTTGTTGAACACAACCAAGTGACTACCCAAAACCGTCCCGAGCTATTTAAAGATACTTCTCTGCCAAAAACAGAAAATATACCAGCAACATAGGTCCATAAATTGTACACAATTTCTTAACTTATTTTATGTTACCGGCTGATACAAATAACTTATAAAGTTATAATTATCACATACTCATACATCGCAGGGTAACAGATTGTAGAATTAATCATCTCATGTATTCATTGTCAAACTCAATGTAGCATAAATGGCTCAAACTAACAGCTCAAGCAAAAGGAAATGCACAATCTTAAATTTTGTGTGTTAAAGGGCAGCCTTAAGTCTTTCTCACGCTTAAAATATGTGCAGTGTCACTAAACATTACATCTATGAGTGTTATTTTTCAGATTCACAAGACTTCAGAAGTAGAAAATAACTCACTATAGTTTTTTTTAAGTACTTACAGCCATAAATTAGGGCTATATAGCAGAACAAAAACAAGAGATGTCCCCCAGTTTCATAATTTACTTTCCATAAATTACTTTTTGTACTTTGGTTTCATCCTAGTGAAACTTGTGTAATCAGTATATACCATTCACTTTTGAACTTTATTCAAACATGATATTTATTTAGATTGAGCACCACTGCTCTGCTATAGAACAGGGCTTACCGTGGAATCGCAATTCTCTTTTCGGCATAGGTACACACAGACATTTGTCTAATGGTGCCATACTTGCCTGTCAAGTTCTAACAGAGGTTCTGATGACCCCAAATGTTCCACTCCACTGTTTATTGGACGCCAGACCACAAGATCTTCCCACAACACAGGGAAAATGTGCCGTCCAAATTAATCCTCCCTGTTTCCGCAGGGCATAAGGGTTTGTACAAGAAAGAATCAACTGAAAATACTTGTAAATTTAAAAGCCCTAAAGGTGAAGGCAATAAATGCATAACTCCACAGACTCAAATGGCAAGATAATGTGCTCTCACATGAAACTAATAAGTTCAGTCAGTCCATATCGCCTCTTCTATGCTTTAATGTTTATCTCAGTAAATAAGTTTATATAGGAGCCCTTTACATACTGAATGTAACACAAGATAGTTAAATCCTAGTGCTCTCCCTTATTTAGTTGACCTGTATACGGTGATACAGTTTTTGAGAAATGCCAAGTTTCATAAAAAACAAAGGCATTATTTTGTCAGGTTTGCCATAAAGTAGTAGATTCTATTCTCAACACTGTTCTGCTATTTTAGAGAACTACAGTTCCAGGAAAACATTTCCTCCTTTTAGATCTTCTGAATTTTTGCATGCTTTCCCCACTGACACAACTTTTTTTTTCACACAGCGACACTGGATGTTGGATGACTTTACTTACGAAATAAATGAAATAAGCACCAAACATTTGTGTTATTTTTATCTTTCAGGGTCCATTTATGTATTATTGGATCTACATGAACCTCTGATAACATTCAATGGCAAAAATGTATAGCAAAATGCAGAACATCTGCTAAGGGATGAATACGTTTTTATTGAACTGCTTTTCACATGGTGGGCTGACCTGTGAAATCTGTGACAATTGTATTGGTATTATAACCAACCTTTTACTCATGTAGGTTTTAATATTGAAGGAAAATAACTGTAAGATGCAACTTGTTTTACATACTTTACGTTCACATCCCAAATTTTTCAAAATTGTGGGAAATTACATGTTCTGAGAACAAAATTTCAATGATAGAATATGCAATATGTTAGAATCAAGTATATAATGCATTTAACCTCACATAAAAAATAAATCTTGATTTTAAGTACAAGAATAAAGCCTGAAATTCAAAAAGGCAACCAGCATGGCCAGGTGCAATCACTGACTAGGTTTATATGCCTTATATAAACTTGTATTAGCCACCACTGTTAATAAAATGCAATACAGTATATGCACTTTCACACTCATTCTGTGAGAAATCTCTGTCTTTATGAGACAAGAGTGTGTAAACAAGATAGGAGCAGTGGTCACAACATTTATGTTTGTAGGTAAACCCAAACAATGATAGTTATTATTATACTAATACGTTCATCTTAAATGCTGGCCCTTTAAGAAGTGTTTTTCTTCTAAAAAAAGAAGAAACTAAAAAAAAGTAAAGAAACTGCATTACTTTACAATTTTACAAAGATTTGGATCACATGCTGTATTTCACTTGAGAAACTGTGTTGTTTTTAAGCAGGCATCATAATGTTCACAACATTTATATATTATTTACATAATATTTACATATTAACTACCGCTGATGTTATAAAAGCATGCTGGACAAGCAACGTTTCTTTCATCTGTCAGTTTTAAAAAATAACCTTTAGTAGAATGGATTGAAACTATTAAAAGTGAGTAAAGATACAGTTTGGTCTAAAGGTCTTAAAGTTTCAACTTTAATGGATAAAAATAACATAACCTGAGACTTACTTAAAAAATACAGTTTTCTTTTATTTGACATCAATAAAATCCCTATATTGGCAATATATTCTAAATCACATAAATTCACTATTCCTCTAATAAGTGACTGCATTCACTGCAAATAGACTACTGACTAATTCTTTGCTTGTGGACCTATATAGAAGACTGCACTATTGACAATGAAAAAATAATAACCATGGAGAGCATTGCTGCGTTAAGCAATATGTATTTATGTTTATGAAAAAAATATTATGTTAAGAACATAATAAAACAAAGGCCTCTTTTTTAAATAAATACTTACGTTTTATATCTTTGGTTTCTAGGAAAAGCCTACTCAGAATCTTGAAGCATCCATAAATTTCTATAATCATATATTCATTTAAAAAGTATTATAATTTTATCATTATCATAATCTGTAATGAAAGAGTGGCAGGGGTTCACACCAATTTAACAACAATTTTACAACATTATTTTGAATAGTTTGAAACATAACTTTTAATAAAAGAAACTCCTGAACTGAACCAAACCAAAAATAAAAAGTAAATAATTAAGTCCAAACCTACATTTAACTGAAGAAAAACATTTTCCTTTTTCTGGTTAAGAGTTCAATAGTTTTAAGAGTTTCAGAATATGAAAATTCACACTTTAGTTGTATATTTATGTATATATATGAAAAGTTCCTACTTGTTCTCTGTAGTAAAGATCACTATTTAATAAGAGGACGTATTTTTTTTTTCCTGCAGTAGGAAGGAATTTGCCAACACTAATAAAAAGGAATATTAGTCTAAAAGAGGTTTAGTTCAAAAAAGGTTCTTAATTCCAATGAGCTTTAGATCCACACAGTATACTAGAATGCAAACGCATGCAGGGTTTACACAACCATTTAAACCTTTAGCAACAAAAGGCAAAAATAAATACTCCCACGTGAATCATTATAAACCATCTGCATGACCTCCTACTGAGGTGACTAAAAACACAAGAGACTAAGTCAGAGACAGGCAGCCAGTTTTGGGGGAAAATTCAGGGCTGTTTTTAACATTATTTTTTAAAGGCTTCATGGACATAAAAGTTGTTTTTCCCTAGCATGGTTCTGTATCAAACAGACTTACAAAAGAGTAGGTCATTGTGACTTGGAAATTATCCTTAGGAATCTAGGAATGTCCATTCCAAGTTCCATAGAAATTCTATGAGCATTTTCTTAAGCTACATTGAGAACGGGAATGTTATATATGTTCATACGCCTCCACAACTTCACTATTGGAAGAAATGTTGCTGGTTCATCCGTAACAGAGGATAAATGCAAATGAACAAATATATACCTGCTTTTAACTGTATCAGAAGTTGACAGAGCTGAACATGACATGAAAGACATGACAGAGTGCATTTTAAAGAACCCCACAAGGTGCTACCTGCTGTTCTGCAATGAGTGATGTTTTCAGGGTCTGCAATTCTTCATTTTTCCTCTTCTCCAGATCTTCTAGCTGTGTCCGTAAGGCAGCACTCTCTTCTTGTAACCTCTCCTGGAGATCAGTATCGAGTACTGGTTTTTCAGAGATGGCCTCAGAATGCCTTATATAACAAAACAGAGCAGTAATTATGATCCATGATTGTGTACAATTCGAAAACTTCCAAAATTAAACTGCACTACGAGAACATCAACGACACTGTACACCAATCATCAGCGACATATCAAATCAATTGAACAATGCCGAGTGAAAGTATTTCCACAGGAACAATAACTTTTTTTCTCTTGGCAGAAAAAAAAAATTACATTACAGATCCACATCTAGAAAATGAAGCACTAGGAACAATCCGTGCATACTAAAAGTTATAACTCATCTACAACATTAAAAGAATTATAAAAAAGCTGTGTCTGTTCTACAGAAATAGTAACAGTAGTGGCAAATGATTTTTTTTTATTTAATCTGATATTTCTAATGTGCATGCCACCCCACATCAGTGGTTCCTTACAGCGTCATACTACTGAAGTTCCTGTAGCACGTGTAGTGTATTTTTTAAAAGTTCTAGCCCTGTATTAAAAATATTTTTAATCAGTTTTAATTAAATGTATCTTGCAATGTACCACTACAAAATACTACTGTGTTTTGAATTTGCATAGTGTATTGCACTGAGCAATATACCTGCTGTTTGGAAATGTATTGATCAGCCATATTCATCCAGAACTGCCCAAGAGTTTGTTCCTACTACTATTGCAATGAAATCATATACATTTTTATCACTACTCTCATATACACATACAATTGAATGTTTTAATTAAATTTCTGAATTACAATATTTTTTCTTAGAGAAAATTCTAATAGAAAAATATAAATTAATAGTAATGACCAGCAAATACAATATCATTATTAGAAGACTGCAAAAGTAATAAAGGATGTCTTCTAAGATTAAAAAAAAAAGTATGGAATACATAATTGCAATGAAGTTTTTCAATTTTCAGAACCTGTGCAAAAAGGCAAAACGGTGAATACTTCCATTGAATAACTTCCTACTGTAGCTGTAACATTTATAAAGACCAACATTTCAACACTAGGTAGAAGAACACAGATACTGACAGTCTAAGCAATATGAATAGAGTAACAAGGATGTTACACTTTATTCTGCATGTTGTGAATTCCCACTTGAAATTTCCTAACAGATAATATCCTTTTAAAACCATCATCACTTACCGTGCACCAAAACCTTTTTCTTTTAGCTGATTTTCAAGCTGTTTTACTCTTTCTAAAAGTTGCTCTTCAATTAACCCCTTGCGATGTTCAAACTCTTTAGTGGCTTCGGATAAGGCAGCCTTAACTGCTTCCTCTTTTTCTTTATCCATACCTTGGATAACAGTCTGTTTCACTTGTGCTAGACTGTTTGAAAGAAGTTCATTTTCTGCCTGCAGTTGGCAGATTATTGTCTTTAATTGCTGCTGTTGCTCCTGAAAGGCTCTTTCATTTTCTTCTGTCTCTTTTTTGTGAGCTGCAAGATGATTCTCCAGATCACTCTGGATTTGCTGTACTTGCTCTGCAAGGGCTTTCTCAGTATCAAGTGCTTTCTGTCGAACAGATGAAAGTTCACTGTGAAGTAAAGTGGTCTCCTCTTCATGTCTGTCCACAAGCTCAGAGATACAGTGATCTTTTTCGATCCTCATTAGAGTTCTCAACTCTGCAATTCCGACCTCATATTCATCATTCTTAGTTTGAAGTTGCTGTTTTAGATCACTAATCTCTTTTCTCAGAGCTTTGGTCTCCATTTCAACTCTGGAATTTATAGTTTCCTCTTGGTGAGATTTGCTTTCTTCATACAGTAACTTTATTTCTTCTGTTTCCGCTTCCTTAAGTGCCATTTCAACTTCCAACTTACACCTCACATCTGAGAGTTCAGAAATTCTAAGTTCAAGTTCCTTCAGATGACTTTCCCGTGCTCTCAACTCTGTCCTATGGACCTCTAGTAGTTCATCCAGCTTTGCCATGTTTTCTTTAGTTAAAGCATCACGTTCTACCTGATGCTCATTTTTTAAAGCTTCCAGGTCCTCACCATGCTTTGCCTGAAGCCTTTCCGCCAGATCCTTGAGGTGAGACTGTTCCAGGCTTTCAAGTTCAAGCTTCATTTTTTGTTGACTACGTTCAATCTCAAAGTGAAGATGTTCTAACTGATCTGCTAGTGATTCTCTGGACTGCAAGAGGGACTGTATTTCATTATTTTGTGCCAAAATGTTTTGCTCCAAATCACATAATTTTTGTTTTTGACAGCTTTCAGATTTTACAAACCTGTCCTTTTCCTCTTTTAACAAAGATATTTCGTTTTCTTTATGTTGTATGGTTTCTTCAAGGCCGAGCAAAGCCTTTTTCAGGTCTTTTAGGATGTTTTGGTTCACTTCTGATACGTCTTTAAGATTTTGAATTTCTTTTTCATGATCTGTTTTGAGAAGTTGCAATTCCTGCTGATGCTGTTGTTTTAAGTCCTCCTCGAGGGAATACCTAATACTGACAATGATGTTTTGTATTTCTGCTGACACAGATTTTAAAGCATAGCTGAAATCTCGTTGCTCTTTCTGAACCAGACCACGGAAATGGCAAAGATCTTCCTTGATGCTTCTCAAATTACATTGGGACTCTTCAGCAGCGAATCTATATTTTTCTATGCATACTTTTAACATTGCAATTCTTGAGTTCTCTTTTTCCAATGTTGTTGTATCCTGAATACGTTTGCTATCAATTGCATTAATAACAGATGAATAAAGAGATTCCACCATCATTTCAGGACTTGTTGGATCACTGATAGCAGTGGGGGAAGCAGGGTTCTCTTCAATGACAAACTCGTTAACTGCAGACATAAAATCTGATTCAGGGCTCTCTGCTAAAGAGTCCAAGTCTAGAGATTCTTGTTTCAAAACTGGATCCATGTTTGGATGTCCAATAGTCTCAAAATCAAATGTATGGGCATCAATGCTGTCTGGAGATAAATCCTCTAATGGAGCTGGCAGATTCAGAGGCTGACAGAGGGGAGCCTGAAGAGTAAGTGATGTTGGTGTTTTGGAAGAGGTAGAAATAGTTCCGGTTGCACTTTCAGACCTTGGTATTGTGGTGGATCTTTGAGCCGCCTGGCTGTTAGATGCCTGATGGAATATTTATGAAAAAAACAAACATTAAGTACAAATAAGACAGTATAGAGATCTGTGATTTTAACTACAGTTTCATTACAAAAATACAAATATTCCTCAAAATGGCAGAACCAAACCTTTAAAACATACAAATAAAACATATATTTAATATTTAAACATTTAATTCCAAAATATTTACATCTATTAAATGTGTCCAATTCTATATGCGCTTAAACCTTGCTTAAACTATTTACTAAACCTTTCAACATGAATATCCACACTCCTGAGAGCCCAGTTTCTTATCATAATGCAATTTTGAAACATTTCATTGCAATCAAAAATTTAATTAACCCTGGACTGCATCAAAGAAAGATAAAATCAAAATAAAGTAAATTATAAAAAAATATTATTTGTGCACAGCAGCTTTGAAATAAAAAAGTGGAAGCTATATGAGGCTACTTAAAAGAAAAAAAGTTCTCATCATCATTACAAGGCTAAAGTGGATTTCACATGTACAAGGCCAGAGTGAAGTGGGAAGACAAAAATGTCCTTAAAAATGCCTCCTGTGTATGTAAATGTTTTTGCTGTGTGGCAGAAATACTGCATCACTATTAAAGTGATTTTTTTACATTCTCCAATGTAATTTTTAATCCATCACAGTAAGCTCAGGTCAAATATAATGTAATGATGGGAAGGGAAAAGAAACAGCCTTCAATCACACATTTTCTGGGGAAACTAATATAACAACAGGCATAAAGAACTGTGCCTTTATGCTCTAAAGTTCTTTGAAAGATATTTTAAAAAAATAAACATGCAATTTAATGATTAGATATACATACCCCATATCTTCAATACAAATAATAAAAAATTATAAATACATAAAGAATGGTTTTTCAATTAAAACATTGGGCTCAGTTTGTAATTACCCTGGAGTGGGGGGACTTTGTCAGCTTGCAAACTTCAAAGTAACACGTAAGAGATTAATTCCATACTCTAAACATTTTTAAAGCTTTTTGGCATGGAATTAATGACTGCAGAAAATAGCTGTATCCTTGCTTAATTGTAATTAATTGGATTGGAATGTGGGATTCTCACATTTGTCACTGTAAATACTTCCAGGCTGCATCTGTGTCATTTTCTTTGAAAGTTTGTTTAATTTTGTATCTTCACAAGCCTTACATTAACATCAAAGTTCGGACTTTCCATATGCAAAAGCCTTCTAAACCACACTACCACAGGCAAGGATTTTCCACAATATATTCACATATGTAAAAAAACACTTGAAAAACCATGATCCTATGAAGATGTTGTTAGCCGGAAAATGTACTATCGATTTATTGTAATTCTGTTTGATACACAAAGGAAAGTTTCTAATCAACATCAGTCCCACTTCTATCTACAGGCCACTTCGAAATTAATCTTAAGAATAGAGAAAAATATGTACATCAGCTAGTAAAGGAAAAGATACTTTATGGTACTATTTACATTTCCCCAGAAGCAAGTTCACAAAACTGTCAGACAAAAAGTGCTGTTGTAACATTTATATAGATTTCAGAGTCAGCTGTATAAACAGTTTAAGATGAAGTATTAAGTACCTTTTGTTCACTCAGCAAGTCAGTTATGGTCTGAGACATTTCATCCACACTCTGAGCAGCTTTCACCAGTTGGTGAAGAATCTGAACATGCTGATGTAAAGGCTCAAAGTCACACAGTGTTGGAACCCTGAAAAACCAAAACATTTCTTATTTATGCCTTAAACACTTATTTCTACAAATCTGGTTACACCCAATTTTAGAATTTTGCTAAAATGAATAGCAAAAATATAATTAACAATTCAATCAGTAAAGGTTATATGTAAACCATATGTAAAGCTTTAGAATTAATGTATTAAAATGCTGAATTACATAATTGCATTAAAAATTATTATTTTCCTCCATTTACATCATGCGTCATCATACAGATCAGGCAATTATGATTCAATTCATGTTTCCTTTTGTGAGAAAAAATACAGTGCCTTGCAAAAGTATGAAGAAAGGGCCAGTATGAAAAATTATGAATTCCTGCCACACAAGTCAGAATACTTACACATACTGAAAACTTAGTTTTTGCTTGAATTTACTGTAATGTATCTTACTCTTAGATGTCATCATCTTTTCAGCATTAATCACAATTTTAACCTTAAAAATGTGTAAGCACCACTTTGTAAATGGGACACCACAGGAACGATCTGAACAGTTTACAAAGCATTATACAAAATACAAACTGCCACTGACTTCAGTATATGTAAAAATAATTTAAAAAGCAAAATTATCCTATTTGGGTAGTTCTACAATAATGCATTTTGTACCTGAGGAAAGGCTGAACCTCTGCAGGACAACAGGACTTCAGAAACTGTAGATCATTTAGGGATATATCAGGAAGTTCAAAGTCAAACTTACGAGGCTTGCGTGTCTAAAGAAAACAAAATCACAAATTTAAAAATAGAATAAATCTGAACTCACAAGAAAGAGATTAAAAGGGGAACAAGGGTAATTAAAATTTATTTTTGATACAGATGAAAATAATTGACTGTCCTGTCATAGGAAAATGTAATCCATGCTCCTTCTGTTAAGAACATTTTTTAAAAATAACTACAACCAGGCCCCACCCCAACTTGAAAAACAGAATTTTTGGTAGTAGTCAGGCCAGAAAACAAAAGAAATGTCTGAAAAGGACATTATCTCATGACACATCATTGAAAAGAAGCAGTCAAGGGTACAGGGGCACCATCAAATCAGTCAAATTTGAGAAAATATAAGTCGCAAACAACCAACCATTCTGTTACAGACAACTGATGATTAAACTGATTCCAAGTAAAAGTTCAGTGCATCTAGAACACAGAGCACACTGGTGCAGTAGTTAGCATTGCTGCCTTGCTGTGCTGGGGCACTAGGTTCAACTCTGGACCTGGGGTGTTATCTACATCGAGTCTGTTTGTTATCCCTGTGTTAGTGTGGATTTCTTCTGCGAGTCCAAGACACACTGAGTGGTTATTTGGCTTCTGGGAAGATTGGTCCTAGTGTGAATCTGTGTGTTTGTGTCTGTGTGTGCCCAGCAATGGACTGGTGTCCCATCAAGGATGTATTCTGCCTTGGGCCTGTTACTTCCTGGGACAGGCTCCAGCTCCCCTGTGACCCTGTACTGGATAATGTGGGTTAGAAAATAGATGGAAAGATGGATTGATATTATAATATGTCAATATGGTCCATTTTATGTTCCAATTTACAATGGATTATTCAGTGTGTGGAGGTTTAAGAGGAAAAGAAAGTGTTTTCTCAGATTGTGTCCCATTCAGGACCACCATCCAGCTCATCTACTTTATGTATTCTTTACATATAAGGGTAACAGGGAGGTGACTGCTTTCAAATACAATAAGAGGCTAGGTTGAAACAACCAGGTCGGTCACTGTGTGAGAGGGTAAATCATGACTTTATATACAGAGCCTGTTGCTGCAAAGGCCTCAGCAGAGTGTGAACCAAGAAGCAAGACTCAGATCCTACAAAATGCGCAGGCCAAGAACTGCAAAGATGGAAGAGGCATTGCATGCTTCTAAAAGTAAAACTGGTCCTTCAAAAGGTCTGTGTGATCGTGAAATACTTGATGGCACTTGATTGACACTTAGAGCCTTTTCCAATAGTTTCAAGTTTAGCATGTAGAAAGAGCAATCTAACACACAGTTTGCCTTTTTTAAGAACAGGCTGACATGACCTCACACTGCCAGCGACAACCCAGGTGGAATGCCATTTAAGACAGCTTTTCAGTTGTGATTAGATTGCACAGCTGCTTTTAACAATCGTGCAAAGTTACAGGACCACAGAAAATCTCAACATGTTCAGAATCCCGCTGAGGTAATTTCACTGGGTGTATGATTCCTTTGTCCTCAGTTCAGTCTATTTGTCATATGTACAAGTGCAATGAAATGCCTATTTGCATGTATGCTCCAAAACAAAGTGATTAAGAAGACATCAAAACATAAACATGGAACAGCAGCATCAACAACAAGAAAGTTAAATAACATACAACTTAAATATAAGTCAGCACAAACAGGGTGGAAAAAAAATGTGCTACAGTCAGTGTTCAGCTAAGTGTGCACTGGCTTCAAATGTAATCAGAAGTGAAAAAGAAGTCTTCACAAATGTAATTAACCTGCTCAGGGTTAGAGAGTTCAAAGTAATTAGAGCGTAAATATACTTTTACTACTTTTTATTAAACTACAAACAAGCAATGCATACTTACACAAAAAGACGAAGGAGGCCAAGAGTCAAGTCCTCGAAACAAACGATTTCTGAGAAATGATTTTCCTGAAATATATAATATACAATATAAAACACACTAATATTATATTATTTAAAATCCTCTTTTAGAACCTAGCTAAAAATGGGAAGACCATTTATATGAAAAGTAAATTTAAGGAAATGAACATTAAATAACTCATTAAAAAAATCAGAACTAAAAAATTAGAAAATTAGAAACTAAAAAAACTAGGAAGTTGTACTTACTGAACAATTTCCCAAAGGTTTCCCTTTTAAGTTTTTCTGCCTCATACAGCTGTTTTCCATCCTTTACTAGAGCATTGGCCCACTGAAAATATAAAAAAAATGTAATTAGTAATTACATGCACAATCAAGCGACACTAAACTGAAACATGCAGAAATAAAAAAAAACCAAGTGTAGTAGCTCAAACCTCTCTGTAGTGTTTAATAAAAATCTTCCGCCTTACAACCTCCACAACAGCCAAACAATACATCTGGGGGACGGTGCCGAGAGCCTCTACGACTCTAACTCTCTCCAGCAGTTCTGTTAAGAGACGGAGTAAGGCCTGCAGCTTTTCCCCATCCTGATCTGCGTGAAGCATTACATAGCAACACCACCTGCGGATGCACATGGAAAAACATGATGTGCTGTCTTCACTGTGGCAAAATCTTATGTATTTATACTGTAGCTTATCTGCTTATTTTTTTCCTAAATACATTTTAACTAGGACCAGAGTATCAGAGACAGGTGAACTTGAAACTTTCTTTTATTCATCCATAATTTCTGACTGTTCTGCTATGTAAAGACTCAAAGCTGAAAACCGCAGCTTTCTTTGTTTCTCTTTTGACTGCTTAAAAGAGGGAAATAATTTCTTTTTAACTCTCAAATCACTGCTGTACCTGTCAAGTAAGTAGAAACCAAGCCAATTTTTGGTTTGCCAAAGAAAATACCATAAGCTTTCAGTAAAGATTCAATCCAGTCTGTTGCACTACTTCAATTTAAAAAAAAAAACAAATGTTGTATTAGATTATATAGTCAATAAATGTTGGGAAACTGCACATAAGTTAGTATTACTATATCTGTGGAATTCCACATATTTTTAATTTGTCTCAATTACACTGAGAGAAGCACAATCGACATGATAAATTTTAATGAAAATTGACCAACCTTCTGAAAATATGTTTTGGAGATGTTTGACCACTCCTCTTTAAAATGTACCCCTTCTTAGCAATCATGGTTTCACATTCCTGACCCCAGTGGTTCCCAAACTTTTGTTTGTTGTGTAACACCGCCTTAACATGTTAACGAGTACCCTCCATTCACAAATGTTGTAATTCTAATAACATTCTGATACTATAATTACAAAGTAAATGACTGCAAATGATCAACAACATACAAAATCATTAGATTTTTTGGGGACACAATGAAAAATGGGTTGGTATTTACATGCGTTTTAAAAGGGTGTAGTATGTTAACTTATTGAAAAGTTCTGTTTAATTCCAAAAAACAAAAGGAGATGCTAAGAAATGCAATGGATTGCTGCTATATCCCTTTTGGCATTAGACTAAAGCATTTTACTATATAAAGCACTTGTTGGACAAAATGCAACTTCAACTTATGAAGGTGGCATGGCAGTGGATTACAGGCAAACCATGTGTGCTGCTTCTTATATTACAGACAGAGGCCTGAGCACAGCTTGCATCCCAGCACCTCTTTTATTACAAATGAAGCTAAACTTGAACTTTGAAAAATTGCCATAAAAATATAACGCAAGGTGCATGTACTGTTATAAGCAGGTGAGCAAATGACAAACACAGACCTTCAATTTAAAGAGAAAAAAAACAGATTTCTAACAGTTTTTGCAAAAATAATATGACTCATATTAACCAGCCAATATTTACAATATATTCTATTATATGTTATATATATATCATTTATATAGAAAGCCTTGTTCTCTATATAGAGCAATAAAATTCACATATAAATTATTTTTAAAAAATTGATATTCAGCAGCCAAGAACTATCCTACAAATTGTGCTTCCTCTGAGATTCTCACAGCATTACATAGCACGTGTTCATCTGTTGTTATTGACTATTTTTTCCCTCAACGAATCTACTATTTGGCATCAACTGATTCCTTTCTACCATATGGTGACCTAACAATAATAATGAAAAATCTTTAGAAATCCTGAAATCACCAGCAAGTGCTGTTACCAGAATGGAACTTATGGTTCATCCTTCAAATAAACATATATGAATTCAAATCTGTCTTCCTTTTTTGTCCAAATAAAATACTGATTTGTGCATTATTAGCATACTGTGCAAATCTTTAAAACTATTTCAAAGGGTCTGGCTTCCTGTGAGTTTAACTGCAAAAGTACAGTGAAAACATACCATCTCTCCTGTGCAATATTTCACTATCTAGTAAAATACACATACTTACTTCAGTCTCACTTGTAGATTGTTTGTAAGCTCCTGTTTGGCAGTGGTGCATTTCTGCTTTATGTCCAATAGTTTCCTGTGATTGGTCAACATTATCATCAATTGGTTTGCATGACTCAAACAAAGGTCAGGCAGCACTGAGGTGTCCTTCAGGTTTTCAGCCCTCTTCTGATTAGCTAAAAATCCCTAAATAATAAACACAGATGTGACAATTGGGGATAGCGAGGTAATTGGCATCAACAGTAATTGAATGTAATTCTAATTAGTGATATAACCGAATAGCAAAAGCATACCAAATACTACTTGCAATAACAGTCTTGGCTTGTATTAATCCTAAATCCTTGTGTTAAAACACATCATAACTTCCAGAGATCAAACCTTTTTTGGGCAGATGTAAAAATATATTTGATCAGGAAAAGGTAGAAATGCATTTGGGCCAAACACTACGCATTAAGTTGTGGTTGAGCTCCTTGCAGTCCTGCATTGTAAATGTAGAAAAAATGCAGCCTGTAATCTGTCATCTATTCTTTATATGGCGATTAGGGACTATATTATCATGCAGTAAGCAAAGATCAACATGCCTACCAGAAAAGTCTATAAACCAGGGGAAAACCAAACACATCACTAGTGAAATGAGAAATGAAATCAGATCTGAAAGTTTTAAGAAAACATGGGTTTTAAGAATTCCTCAGAGAGGAACTGTGTTATTTATGGAGAAAAGGATTATCTTTCAGTTAAATGTAATGTGACCCTTAGTAAAATAATATTTAAATAACCGTTGTGGAAAAAATGTAAAACTCAACGTAAATTAATAACAATCCAACAAAAAGAAACCAGCCTGGAAGTGTGTGGTAAGCCACCAAATTCAAGTATTGTATAATCTCTACAGCTTTCAACGGTCTCAAAATTCTGTTAAAGCTGGCTGTTTTGAAGAAAAGGGTGGATGAAATCCTCAAATTAATCATCTGGTAAAAACCCAATGGGTTGGGCTGAATGTCTTCCTTTGATTCTTTATGCTCTTACACTGTTCAGCCAGTTTCATACAAAGTTTAGCTGTCAGTTCTAGACAAGTTTACACTAAATGACACAAGGTTAACACTAAATTCTTGGCAATGCAAACATTTTTCCTGCGTAGTACAAGTGGAATATTATGTACAAAATGTTCGCCAAGTAGACAAGCATTATACATCTTTGAAAAAACACAAAGATAGACTGTTCTAATTCAGGGGGGCTCAATCCTGGTCCTGGAGACCTGTTGTGTTCTCCATTTCAACTCCAGTCTCAACTTTTTACTTTTTACCGTAATTTGACCAATTTATTACCTTCTCCTTAAAAGAAAATTTAAAGAAAATCTACAGACACGCTAGACCTCCATGACCAATATTGGACACCCAGCTCTAAATAGACATATGATGAGAGATACATTCTGTATTTGTGTGCTTCTTCAATAAACTTCTATATATTTAGAAACAGCTGAAAAAACAGCTTACAGATTTCAGTTGTAGGTGTACAATATTTTACAGCCAGAGAAGAAATGTATCTTTATTATTGCCAGAATATAACACCAAGATTAAAAAGAAAAGTACATAAAATAACACAAACATTAAGTATTAAAATATATACACTGCTGTGCAACTGTTTCATACATTTTGAATTGTTCATTTCAAAATTCATTCCACATGTTTTCCTTTACACAGAAACAATTCTATGGAGATTTTCCACTGATATTCTAGCTATTTTGTTTAAAGCCAACAGTTCATTTCGACAGATCTGGATTTCGCAGCACAAAAAATTGCTTTTAGAGAGGGGAGAGAGTGTAGAGAGGGGCACCTGGCTACCTGTTCTGTGGCTTCTAATTTGCAAAATTCAAGTTAATAGACAAACACCCACAGTAAACACCTCAAGCGCTGGAACAGTCACTCTAGGGGCCAACCATTTCATCAGTGCCCTCAGTGGAAGGGGCCTGGTTTTCAAGGCTTAATTTATCCCACAAAAAAACAGTACAACAGGACTGGTAAAGACACAGAGATAAAATCTTTTCACTAAATCACTAATAAACTAACTACAGTGTGCAGATTCTAGATGTTCATGAAGGAAATGCATTTGGATGTTTAATAACATTTAAAATTCTAATATTGAAACAATACAAGTTGAGAGAAAGACTACCAAGTTGCTCCCTAACTTTACTTATAGTTCGAGGGCAGCCAGACTACACAGTGATACTGATTGCGTCCCGGGACTTCACTGCCCTACGTGCCAGACTTGAGCCCTGTTAAAACACCTGTGCGACAGAGTAAGGTGACAAGTGGCATCTAGGCCTCAGATGTCAGTGAAGTCTATGCTTTAGAAGAAGAACGGGACAGAATCCCAAGACAAGACAACATGAGCATCACTGTACAAAGCACGCATTGTAGCCAGCTTGTATTGCTTCTTGCTGTGGCCACACACACTACCAGCTGTGACTTTTATAGTATCGCCCTTGTTGATCATCCCAGGTGATGATTAATGTCAATCGGAATAATTAATTTACTCTTATGTTTGTTCAATAAAATCCCAGAGCTCTTACAACACAAAAACATATCTTTTTGATGTTTGTCATTTTGTTGCAGTTATAGATCAGATGTTTTTAAACAAAATATTATTTTAATATTCTATCGACCAGAGGTTGGCAATCTACGATACACATGCAGTTATAGGTACAAAAAGGGATTTTCAAAGCTAAACTAAAGCAGCATGTGTAATAAACATTCTAATAAATAAAACTGTAAAACTATAAAACTATTCTTCTGTTCTGTAAACCTCTACAACATGCAATCAAAGCTCTTTGGCATATAAAAAATAATTCACTTGGTTTATTTACTGCATTATTTTGAGCAGGGCTAGCCTAGTGTTATCACAGGAAACCGTGCAATTCATGCCACTGATAATATTTTTCACAATTAAGTGTAAAGTCAAACATTTTGGACAAAATGGCGGTCGATATGAAAGCAAAGTTAGATGTCTGCTCATTTAGTGCTTATGAGAGACAGATATAGGTACATTCAACATAAAGACCATGCAGTTTCGCACTATGTTGTGAGAGTGTCATTTCTCATACATCAAATGCATGTCATCAATGACATTTTTAGACAAATCACGCTAAACACTTCAAAGATACAATCAAGATCTTTTTGCAAGAGAAAAATTACCATGAACTGCAAGATTAAAAATGGGTTGGAAACCTACTGTTTCTGACATAACTATACATATGAATGAAATTACCAGCGACACAGAGATTTTTTTGACGTTTCAATGAGTGTTAAGGATTTTGAAATTCTGCTAATTTAATTACAGAGGCCACTGAATGCAATCACAGCATCACTATCATGACGTGCTTAAAGTCCCTGTCAGTGATATTTGTCTACTTAAAGAAGCATTTTAACTACTCTTGGCAAATGGATAAACTTACCTCTGGAAACAGGTACTTTCTCTGTACTTCCCATAGCCAGCTAACAACTGAACACCCAGAGTCTTGTGTACTGCTGGAAGTGTCAAGCTACGACACTGAGACTGAAGAACTCAGTAACGCAATACATCACACTAAATAGTAAGATCTGCATCTTAATTTATTAATTTTAGATATTATTATATTTTAATATTTGTATTAATCAAAATGTAAGTAAGGGTATTGTTGAAATTATTGTAGAAATAAGTATCAATGCCATGCAAATCCTTAAACCAAGAGCAGGAGCTAACTCTTGGTCCGCACCTTCTGAAAGCTGCCTAGCCCTAGCTACAGATGCTTCATGTACCTGAACTTGGAATTCTGCATAAAATGCACAATACTAAACAGAACTAATATATAAAAAGACATACGGCATTCTTCACAGAGTAAACCTGCTAAAATGTCAAAAGCCCTGTGGTTTATGAGGAAGTGAAATGACAGCTCCAAGGCACATCAGTTGAGATTTTCAGAAAAATATTTAAGTCTTGCATGTCTAAAATAAAACCATACAAAGAACATTAACTCAGCAGTTGGGACCATAAGCAAGACTTCCATTTACAGGGCATGTAGCCAAGTAAAGGACTACAGCAGTATTCATTTCCACCAGCAGTCAAATAATAATAGGTTCCACTGAGCAATGCTCATGTCTTTAATAAAGTAACAGAAGACATAAATTTTCACCCTCGGTTAAACAATCTGTGCCATGTAACATTCTAAAAACATTGTTATGGAACAAGTGATAGGTTTATTCCCTGCTGAAAAGAGAAGAAAGAAAACACAACGCTTAGGCTGTGGAGCCTTCTTCGGGTCAAAACATTATGGTGGTATTCATAACAGGATAGCATACATTTATACCATGACACCTCATTATCTCTGAATTCAAAAGTATGATTTAATCAATGTGAATGTAAACAGAAATCAGATCAATCTTTGAATTACATTATTTTTGACTATTAAAAACACAACTTGAAAAATCACCATACAAAAGCACAAGATGTAACTGTATAAATATGACAGATTTTGGGTGCATATTCTATGAAACATTAAAATGAAACCTTTGCATTAAGTATTAGATTTGTATTTAGCTTTAATAGCATACTTTGCTCTATCTACATAGAGAGACATATCTTTAAATATGATGATAAGATACATATGTACTGTATAGATCCAATACACTTGAATCCAAGTGTGGGGCTGAGAAGTCCTGGAGATACTTCTGCCATGGCAGAGGATCAAACTCGTTCTTAATGGAAGCCAGGGAACAAATGGTTCAATTTTGTTGATCAATCCTAACCTACATATCTTCTGCAGGTGAGAGGAAACTGGACTTATTCAAAACCAGAACACTGGGAACACAAGCAAGCTCTGCATAGAGAGGTGCCACTAACATTCCAGGAATGTACATGTAGGGAACTACACCAAGTGGTTGTGTCTATACAATGAAATTCTGTTGCTTTTAGCAAAACATACTAACATGAACATATAAAATGAATATACTGATTTTTTAATAAAACTTCTCATTCTTTAATTCTAAAACTATCTTCAATTATATTGCATGTCTGCACATGCCACATGTCCTGCAGATTGAGGCTTCTACCACAATTTTGATTTCCCTTACTTTGCATGGTACACAGATGACTGAAGCAGTCATGTATTAAATTTTCTTTTTGATAGACTTGTTTTTCTAGTGTTAAACACCTGA